CCTTGAGGTAAACCTAACAGAGTGGTACACGTCCCACACGTGTATTCACCTGCATGTTCTTATAACTTTTTCCAATTAGTACATATTGACCTGCCATTCTGTATGCGTATCTTACACCACCTTTTGAAGTGCTGCCATTCTACGGACATTTCTCAAGCACCAACCTTCCTAACTAGGCACCCATTACATACTTCTTGCCCTTATTCAGTTCACAACAACCCCGATATCTGCATTTGGACTGTCTTTTTACCCGGATTCTTTACTAGTCCATCTCTTACTTCCAACAGGCAACATGGAATGGTTGGTCTGTCCAGGCTTTAGGTGCCTAAAAGATGCTCCCCCCTTGGTTCATACTTTCGAAGCATATGCCCTTTTCCTCCGGGGTGACAACTCAGCAGTTTAGCTAGTGTGTCCTCTGCCAGCGGACCTGGTTGCTCGGTTCTCCAATCTCAGGCTCCAGTTTGAATTCAGCCCTTCTGTGGTACCATCGAAGATCATTGCTATCTCCAAATTCGGGACTTGTCAAATGGGTTTTCAGTTCCTCAAATTTATTGTACCAAAGCTCCCATTTCTAAATGGTGTGACCGAAGTTACAGATTAAGTTCTGGATCCAACCGATAAGCATAGCTATCAACCAAACACAGGCCTATTTTTCAATATTATCGCCAGTGGGATTTGAACTCTAGACCTGCCACTTGGAGAGAGTGACGACTAGACCACTACACTAAGTCGCCACATCTCTAGTATCTGAAGTGATTGTAATAAGTGGGCTAAGATAAAAGCTTTAATAGTAATAGATAGTGGGTATAAGAGTAGAGTGGATGAGAGGAAGTATTTAAAGAAGGGGTGAGATTTTATTAGGCCTACTATAGCTCTGCATTGTATTGGTATCAAGTCACCTAAGCATTTTGTAATTATTGTATTAATAGAGTTATGTATAATTTGATTAAAAGTCTGTGGACTATGACAAGTAAGCCAGTGAGTTGGTGAGTCTAAAGAATTACAAGAAAAGTAAGTAGTAGCTTGGAAAATTTTAGGTGTAATTTAGTGAAAGTGGAAATGTGTTGCAGGTTATTGAGCATATTTTTAATTCTGAATGCTTTCATACAGCTTAGCTTAGAAGATATAATAGTAGATATAGTCTTTTGGTTATTATTTAAATAACACTATATAGAGTTCCAGTCAGTTAATTAGGTATAGTTCTTCTATTCTGTGTTACATTTTTGTGAGGACTATAATGCTATTGTATATGCTTTGCAAATTTTTTTGGTAAATTGCCTTGCTGGTTTTTTAATATACTAATCTTTCCATTGGATAACAAAGCTTGGGTTGTGTATATTAGTATGGTTGAATTGAAGGGTTTTGGTTGTGGGCTATTGGTGCTTTTTGGCTAGAAGATCTGTCATATTGTTAAATAGATCATTAGCATGTATCTAAACCTTGTAGAAAGTGAGCTAGATGTTGAAGACCTTAATAGCATTAAGCAATGTGTGCCAAATTGGCTAGTAGTTGAACTTGAAGTACTTGGAAGATTTAGTAAAAGTGCAAAGTAGTGTTGAGATAGCAGAGAGAATTGTGGTAAGCTTAGCTTAGTATGAGAAAGGTCAACAAGAGATCTTGGCAGAGAAGCAATTGATTGTTTCATTGTTGTGTATTTGTATCCAACTTATTTCTATTGAGCAGTTGCTAGTGCCTATATTTGATACTAAACCATTTGTATAGAAGGTAAATGTTTGCATATTGCTGTTGTTAAGAGAGTATTGAACTAGTGTCTGGCAAGTTTCATTATTATGAAAAATTACTGAAGCTAAAGAGTCTATAATATTGATATTAGATAGAGGAGAGATCCTTATAGGATGTTTGATTGCTGTAGAATATATAAGATCGATATAATTGGCATTTAACCTGCTTGTTTGCTATTTTTCTGCCTAAAAATTGAGTAGATAGTGTGTTAGAAACCTCAATAGTATAGTAGACATGGGTTGCATATAATAAATACTAGAAGGTATGATAAGTGGTAGTATATATTAATATCATGTTGCTAGTGTGTAATAGAGATAGTGTTGGTTTGCTTAAATTTTTTTCTAATTTGGCTAATAATAATATCATTATACTGGTAAGTAGGTAATCATGGTTTTAGTCTTTTGGAGATAGTATAAGACTGATAGGCAAAGGGGTTTGTGCCTAGTGGTTAATATTGTAAGAGTATAGTGTGGTATTGATAGTTACTTAAGATAGTGTTCTCTAGAAGGGAGAACTAGTATGGTCTTTTCTTTTTAGAGAGGTGTAATAGTCTGGGAGAAATATATCGTCATTTTAGCAGATATTTATTATTTGCAGATCAGAGTTGTTCAAGAAAGTGGATACGCTTATTTCGAAGCTATTGTTTGAATACTTTATATTTGCTACTTTTGATTAATATTGGCTCAAATAGTATATTACTGTCTTGAATTGTCTGAGCCAGGCCAGGTTGGTATTAATAGTTATACTAATACCAGTCTGTTGTAGTAATAGGATTAGCTTGTATATAGTTGTATATCTATTAGATCCTTCAATAATAGGCTAAGAGTGCTGAAGTATGCTAGTAGTTGACTATAGATTGTTTTGCAGTTGTTGAATTCTAATGCAGATAGTAGAGCCAAGTGTGAAGTTATTATTAATTCTGAAGAGAAAATTGTTAGTGTGGTAATGGAGCTGGATGTCCAAGATGTTGTAAATATTATAAATATTGTAGTTGAGCATTGTGCTGTTTGGAGTAGATCAAGACAAGTGAGCTTTGTATTTGGCAATTGTAAAGTATTTGCCTAGAATTTTGAGCTATGTGGATTGTGGAATAATGATGTTATAGATTTTATATTTTACTGTTGGGATTATAACTATGTTAATGATATAAGTTATTTGTTTGTTAGTTATCTTTTTTGTATTAGCAGTATATGCTAGGTTAAGAGCCTCCTCTTGAATGAGTTTGATCTGTTTAAAGTATCTATTATTAAGTATAAACTAGCATCTAAGAAATTTGAATGGCTGGTTAGAAGGATTGGATACAAGGTTTGTTTATAAAAAGGAGATGTTTGTTGTTTTTTGGTTAGACAGAAAAATAAATTTTGAGGGGTTGATCTGGATGTTGGCTATTTCATAAAATGATGTAGCTGTTTGTATTGTTTTTTCAAGATTCTCTTTGGATTTGGCTATTCAGAGAGTGTCATCCATGTAGGCCAGGACTGATATAGTATATTGTAGCCACTTAGTAGAAGATATAGTAAGACTGTATTGCCAGGATATATGCATAGTATAGCCAGGTAGGTGTAGTGATATTTTTGTAATAAGTGGGTCATAGTAGATTCTTCAAAAGAGTGGAGTAATAGTTTCTTCTTGGTCAATTCCATTTTGAACTGCATAGTAATTAGTAAGTTCTAGGTTAGTAATAACTCTATTTGAGCAATCTGTAAGAAGATTGGTGAGGATATTGATAAGTGGTTGTAGTATACAAATTCTGTATAGTGCTTTTTGGAATAGATTAAAGTTAACTGAGTTATAAGCCTTGCTTATGTCTTGTGAAAGAATCCATAGTTGGTTAGAACTGCATGTGACATTCTCTATAATGTTGTTAAGAATATATTTTGGGATAGATATAGAGTTGCCAGGTAGTGCTATATAATTAAAAGAAGATAGAATTTCATTTTTGAATAAAATAATATTATGACAATTAGTAAGAAGCTTAGTGTAGAGCTTTTTAATATGTTCGATAAGGCTTATTGGTTTAGTATTCAAAAGGTTGCCATCGAAAATTGGTTTTTTGGAAATTGGGTAAATTCTTCCCTCTTTCTATTGCTTAAGAATTGTTTGAGTAGTAAGACACTGGTTGAGAAGAGCTGTTATTGCCTTTATAAAATTAGATTCTGTATGCTTTAATATTCATAACTTATGCCTAAGGGTTTACAAGCTTTGTTGTTAGGTAGTTGACTAAGAGTAGAGAGTATTTCCTCTTGTAAAAAGTTAGCAAGTGCTTCGGAGTAGCAGTTGGAATAGATATTTGGTTTTAGGCTATATTCTGTTTGCCAGTCAAAGTCAAATATAGTTTAATTAATTGGGTGGAGGGCTATTCAGTCACAAAAGTGCTGTTGAATATATACTTTGATAGCTGTAAGGTAAGTTGTTACCTTCTGGTTAAGCTTAATATTGTCAAACCTGACAGAGTTTTTGTGATGGTTTATAATACTGTTTAGCATTAACATGGGGCTAGTTTGTAGTTTAAAATATCTTTTTGCAATTGCTTCTGTGATTTGCTAATATGTTTGTCAAATATTTTCCAAATTGCGTGTATAATATAGCTTTTTCTATTCTAAGTTAGCTTCTGTTATCCAGTCTGTAATAGATTGAGTTGTAGATGTGAGTAGAGGAATTTCTAGTTAGTGAAGTTCATTAAGCTGAGTTATAGAGGTGTTAAGATAAGTTGAAGTTTGGAGACTGGACTTGATAGAGTTTTTGACTATTTTTATAGTATTACTAAGCTTTTTAAAACTGTGGTGCAACTAGGTAGCCTTGGGTGAAAAAGTATAGTAAAAGTTGCAGACTGCAAATTTTTTACTAGGAATATGGGGTAATATCAATAGAAAAAAGACAAATCGAAAATTTTTCAAAATTAAGTTTTTATATTCATTATATTAATTAAAATATTCCGAATATTTTTTACTTAATAATAAATATTTGTTATCATAATAAAAAAATTAGTTAGAATAGTTTTAATATTTTTGTTATGCAGATCGGCTATTAGTGTTGGCAGACCAGATAAATCTAAAGTAGAATCTACATAAATCAAAAATATAAATCAAAAAAATAGAAGCGTACATATAGTACGTATATACATACATACCGATATTTGACTGTGGTTAAAATTATAATGATTAAGAACCTATACAATACAAATTATATACCAGTTTATTATATACATTGTATACATATAAGATTTGTTTATAAATCATAGTTTTTATAGTCAAAGATCACTTTGTTATTAATCTAAGATCTTTTCTAATATGAAGTTTGAATGAAATCTCAAAGCTAAGCATAAGTTGGGTTGTTGTTTTTGTGTTTGCTATATCTTTTCTTATTATTAGTTTACTTTTTCCTTTAAACACAGATTCCAGATTTGAAATAAAAATTGTACAGTACTTGCTAGCAATCCCAAACTTACTACTACTAAAAAAAACTATTTGCAAAAATTGAATTTGTTAGTGAATATATTAGAAATAAGGTAAATATATATGTATAGAAAATTCGGTTAAGTCTAAAAAGGCTGCAAGTTTATGTTAAAGAAATAACATAAGTATGAATTAAGAAATTGCATGAAAACTTGCAACTTACTATAAATACAGTTGTAGGTTTTTACTCATATACTAAAATCAAATTTTAGAACTTAGAACATTTTCAAATAAGTATAGAGGCATTATTTGTTCTGAAAATACTTCTTGTCTTGAAATTTACTGATATGTACTTTTTTTCTCTTTTGTATAGGTTTTATCACAAAAATATAAAAACTAAATAGAATTTTATTGCGAATAAAAGTCTACAAGAAAAGCAGGAGGTCTGAACACAGGTTGAATCAATAAATAACAGATGCATACTGGCAGCATATTGGAAGATATTAGGAGATAGATCGATATCAATAACATAACAGTACAATATTGAAATATCCCAATATTTTACTTTTAGCACTTTAGGCCTAAAAATAAGATATCAAAGTATCCCAATATTTTGCTGTTATATTACTGATATCAATCTACTTCAGATATCTTACTAATGTGCTGCCAATATGCTGCTGGTATTTTTATTCCTGGGTTTAATGAATGATGTTGTACAACCATCTTGTATATTTTGAATTTTACTTGCATGTCTGATCGTACTGGTGCAGCTATCTTATTTGATAGTGATTGAGATGATGCTCAATTATTACAATTGATTGAAATAATAATTGCGATTGTTATTTGAGCAAACTATCCTTGTTTTATTATATTTCAGTGAATAACAAAAAAAAAGGCGAATATCCAATAAATAAATAAAACTTCTTTGGCAATATTTTAACAAATAATTGTAACTTCGGCAATACAAGTGCTGTATTTGGATAATAAATATCACATAGTATGCCTTTGGATTTTATATTAACAATAAGGGTTTCTAGTATAAAAAGCAACATAATAATTTTTTAATAATAATAATTTTGCTAAAGATATATAATATAAAGCAAAGTGTTTGAACCACCTTTATCAATATGTAGTTTTATTTAATCAGCATTAACTCGATGAAAAAAAAGATAGTCTATACCTCCAGGTTTTTCTTAGTGAAGTAGTGGTTCACTTGATCAGTTTTTTTGACATCTAACTATTTAAAATTTATTTCTAATCAAATAATTTAGGTGCTGGAAAACCCAGATAATGTACAGTACATATGTACAAGTGCTTAGTACCTTCTTGTACATTATTATTAAAAATGCTAGTAAAATATAATTAGAGTAGTGAAACTGGTGTTAAATGGGTAAAATTGATAAAACTATTTCACCAGAAACTCTAAATATTATAGTAAGCAACTTATCTCATTTAAAATTATATAAGAACCAGGAATTGTCTTAAAAGCAACATCACAGAATTTTTCACATTATTATATTCGACTATTTATTTACCATCTAACCAAATTGACGAATATACTATACCAAATTCTTCTTTATTATTATTAAAAAGAACAACATTTTCAAATACTATAGCTTTAAGTTGAATTCCTTAATACAATCATCAATATTCTTGTTTCTTGAACCACTCTTCGAAGATCACATAAATAACACCAGGTCTATTACTGTATTAACACAACTCAAACAAAAAAATAGACTAATTTGACTATTAACAAAAAGCCTAAATCTAAAAAATGGCTATAAACTTAAATATTTTAAAAATCATAAATTATAAAATAAATTCTTATACTTTTTTTAGACTTATCTAAAATACTAAAAATTAAAGATATTCAATACCTTTCTTTTAAACACTACCTAAGGTCCAGAGGAAGTGTATTTAGTGAAGTTTTTCTGTATTTGTTATCTTTGAATGTAGGTAACTTTTAAATTAGGCTTACAAGTTATATGCTAAGCGTTGTCTCTAAAAAAAATATAGTAACATATAGATACTGATAGTATTAGATCTTTTTTTTTTAATTACAAAAAGTTTAGCATTTATATGTGTTTATTAGTTACCAAAACAACTAGACAACTATCTTTTTTTAGGTCTAAGCTAATAAAAATATTTTTGTTAATATATTATAAAAAAATGAATCAATAGAAATGAGACAAATCTATTAGATAAATTTGTCCTTTTTCTATTGACACATGATCTACATGTTGGGGAGTTTAGTTCAGATTTGGCCATTTTGCTTTAGGTAATAATCAAAATTCATGTAATATAAACATAAAAACGTGATTATCTCAAAACTATATTTTACCTGATTTGTCTTTTTTCTATTGACATTACCCCATATATTGAAGTGCTGTTATAAGTAACTTTTGAGTTGAAGATGTTAGAGGTGTGTGGTGTTGCAAGAGGTTGGATGTAACTTGGTTTGCAATTCTTTCCACTTGGCTGCTTCTATTATTTTGTAATTAAAAACTTTTCTTTGAGTATGTGTTTTGTGTTTTTGTTGTCCTATTAAAGTTGGCTCTGTGCCAGGTAGAGGCTGATTTGTTAGAGTGTGAGGCCAAATTATACATGTTGTTATGTGCTAAGTATTGAAAAGTTTGGATTTAATTGATTGTAAGTGGATGTTCTCTGTAGAGGCGTTTAGGTCTCCTAGAGTAATTGGAAGAATCTTCCGTGTCTAAGCTTGCTGCAGCCATTGAATTATAGTGTTTTGGACTTGTAATTGGAGCTATATATTATTGCTAGAAAGATAGAGAAAGATGATGTGAAATTTGAAGTTATGCTTGAAAAAAAAAATTGATTGCGATAGCATATCAGTCATCCTTCCATACAATCACCTCCTATACTATCACAAACTCTATATAATCACACAATTTTTACAGTCATTTTTTTAATATTAAAAATACCTTTATATAATCACAATCATAATACTATCACTATCACATTTTTTAAAAAAGTTTTTTTGTAGATTTACTAATAAAAATACCCATTAAAATCACAAATTAATAAAAATTTATTATTTAAATTCTATAGATTTGTAAAAAATATCTTTAATTAAAATTTTAGAAAAATTTAAAATGTAAATAAAATAAAATTTATTATTTTTACTCAAACTTTGAAAATGAATATCTCAATAACTATCGATCTAAATAAGCTCAAATTTTAACTATATATAAAAACTTGAACAGATTTAGTCAGGTATTTCATGAGTAATCGCTTGTGTACAATAGTCAATATTTTTAAAATAATTGATTATCGTATATAACCGATTACTCACGCAATACCCAACCAAATCAGCTAAAACTTTAATATTTAATAGATAAATATCAATATTATATATGGTTAAAATTTGAGCCGATTTAGATCAATAGTTATCGAGATATTTATCGTTAAAGATTGAGTAAAAATAGTAAAACTTTTAATAATAAAATCTTTGCTATTTTTACTCAAAATTTGATGATGAATATCTCGATAACTATTGATCTAAATCGGCTCAAATTTTAACTATATATAATATTGATATTCATCTATTAAATATTAAAGTTTCAGCTGATTTAGTTGGGTATTTCGTGAGTAATAGGTTGTATACAATAATCAATTATTTTAAAAATATTGACTATCGTACACAAGCAATTACTCGCGAAATACCTGACAAAATTTGCTCAAGTTTTTATATATAATAGAAGAATATCAATATTATATATGGTTAAAATTTGAGCTTATTTAGATCAATAGTTATTGAGATATTAATTGTCAAGGTTTGAGTAAAGATAATGAATTTTATTTTATTAATAAATGTTTTGAATAATATATTTTACTTTTTTAAAATCACATTATATATATTATTTATATTATTTTATATTATGTGATTATATAAAAGGAATTCTACTTAATCACCCCTTTATATAATCACCAAAAAGTGGTAGCCAAATAGGGTGATTATATAGGAGGACGACTGTATACTTATGTTGTGGTTGTGTGGTGCTAGATTGTTTCAGATCATAATTGTAGTTCTTGCTCAGGAGCTATTTGTATATAACTATAAGTAAGTATAGTGTTGGGTTTTGTTTCATTTATATCGGGCTGTTTCATTTGAAAGTTTGGTTTCTGTGATACTAATAATGTCAAGGTTGTGTTGTAGACAATAATGTTCTCAGGTTTTTTTTTGATATTGTTATTAAATTCTTGTATATTGTGTGTGCAAATAGAGGGGGTAAAGAGATATGGAGTTTATATTAGTACTCATTAAGTTAGTTTGTATCTATCAGTGCAGTGTTGTCTGGTGGGTTGGAGTTGGATATTTCAGTGGGTGTGTTTGTGGTATTGACTATTTGAGAAGTGGCACTAGCTAGTGATTAAACTGTACTAGGAGATGGAGATTGATCTGCAACTTTGCTGAAGATTGTCCAACTAGGTTTTGGTAATGGTAATAGCTCCAGAATAAAGTTCAGAATTGTTTTAACTGTAAAGTGTTATCTTAACACTTTCATAGTAGGTGTAACTTCTTCTTGAAACTGGATTGAAAGTTTTAACTTGATATTACGAGCTATAAATATTTTCTTATTTCTGTAACTTCTGCTAGGATTTCAGGAAGGAGTTGTGAAGTATCAAATAAGTCTAATTTGCTTTCAGTTTTGCTGGTTGGTAACTGAAAAAAGAAGTGTTTCCTCAATGTTTTAGCTGTGCTGGTTAGCTGCTAGAAAGTGGTAATAGGAAGAGTGATACCAATATCTTTGGGGAGTTGGTCTACCTTAGGTAGATATAGTTTGTCAGTAGGGTTTGCTTGTAGGATCTCTGTAGATAATAGGAATCTGAATCTGTATTGTGGTGTGATATGTTGAATAAATTTCTTGGCCTCTGTGTCACTTGTGATTAGGAAGGAAAATTGGCTACTTATATGAATCTTACTAAAATCTGTTGAAAGGAGTAGTTTGATGACAAAATAATTATTTGGTAGAAGTTTAAATATGTAGTACTCTTTGACTTAAGTTACTACTTGCTCAAGTGTTGAGTTGATGTAGCTAGATTGTAGGAGAAAAGGCTACAAACTTTTGAATTAAGCTCCTGGTATGTTGTAAAGAGTAGCTATTTAGGAGATAGAAGATCAAAGTAGCTATCTGGAATTTGTATGACCATGTAGTGATCAGCAAGTTTCCTCTTGTAGGCATCTAAGTACGGAGGGCTAATCTATGAGAGATAGGGAAAAGTTTATATAAATGATCTGGAAGGCTATAGTAGTTAGCAGGGAGTGCTGGTAGTGTGGCAAAGTA